CTTCTCCCCAGTGCCTCCCGCCAAATTAATCTCCAGCATCTCCAAACCTCCAAGAGCCTCAATTCGCAGCATCGCCACCTCGTCCTCGCATCTCGTCTCCCCCCCGCGGCACGCGCTGCGATAAGGCCTCTTCCGCCTCGACCTTGTCCTCCGTCGTCAGACCTCTCCGTCCAGCAACCGCATCACCAGCCGCAGCACCACCATGGTGGTCGCAACCATCAAGTACGATCCGATCTGCAAGCCCCCTCTGCCCTGCCTGCATCTCCAGTCTCCTTTGCCTCTGCCTCTGCCTCTGCCTGCTGTCCTGCTGCCCTTGAATCGCCTGCTCTCACTCTCGCCTCTTCTTCCTCGTCGTTCGCTCTCCCTCCTTTCTCCCTTACCACCTCCTCTTTCTCATCCCGCCAGGCTGCCTTCTTGTCGGCATCTTTGGAGGTGGCTGTCGGGCATGTTTCAGATGGCCCTCGCTCCCTCTCCCCCCGACCTGCTGACAGGGAGGGGCGGTCAATGAAGCTGCGACCTCTCCTTGAGCACCTCTCCGCCACCCGCTGCCTCTTCTTTTCGCCGGCTAACCTTGCAATTCGCTTCTAGGTGCGTTGTCGTCGGCGACGGTGCCGTTGGCAAGACTTGTCTTCTCATCAGCTACACCACCAACAAGTTTCCTTCGGAATATGTGCCGACCGTCTTCGACAACTATGCCGTCACCGTCATGTGAGTGGCTACCCCCTTTCGAGATGGAGACAGACAGAGAGCAAGAAGAAACGAGACATTTCGACCCTCGATCGATGAAATTGTACCGCATCACGGTGCCGCGCATCGAGCTACCCGATGAGAAATGCAAGACATAAAATCAAAACATCCTCGAGAGTGGAGCGATAGCCTCAAACGGCCCCCTTAGCGACACTCTTCGTTCAGACAAATGACACCATCTCCGAGACTGGTTGGCTGACTGGCGCTCAACAGGATCGGTGACGAGCCTTATACCCTTGGACTCTTCGATACAGCCGGACAGGAAGATTATGACCGACTGCGTCCCCTTTCATACCCCCAGACCGACGTCTTCCTCGTCTGCTTCAGCGTCACGTCGCCCGCCTCGTTCGAAAACGTTCGCGAGAAGTGGTTCCCCGAGGTCCACCACCACTGCCCCGGCGTCCCTTGCTTGATTGTCGGTACCCAGGTCGACTTGCGGGATGATCCCAGCGTGCGCGAAAAGCTTGCCAAGCAGAAGATGAGCCCCGTCCGCCGCGAGGACGGCGAGCGCATGGCCAAGGACCTGGGCGCGGTGAAATATGTCGAATGCAGCGCGTTGACTCAGTACAAGCTCAAGGACGTGTTTGATGAGGTATGTTTGAGGACCCCGAGCAGAAACGTTCGGCGGAGTAAGAAAAAAAATTGAGAGGGGGACGGTTGTTGCATGTTTGGTGAGAGAATGCCGCTGACCATTTCGCTTCTAGGCCATAGTCGCTGCATTGGAACCCCCGGCGCCCAAGAAGAAATCCCACAAGTGCCTCATTCTATAAACCACGAGTCTCAGGAAATTTGCGTCATAAGATATTGCCATTGTTTCGCTCGGTCGTCAGTTGACCGGGCAGCCTGGGTTCTGGATACACGGAAGAGGTCATTTGGAGATGATTTGTGATTGTGCCTGGGCGGGGGGTGGATAGACTTGGAGAGCTTGGGCTTTGCCTACCCACGATGGGTTGATATCACTGGCAGTTAGGGGGGGGAGAGGTGTGATCTACTTGTTTCCGTCAAGGAAGTCGTGCTATGGATTTCCCTTGTGCTTGACCATGGCAGCAGCAAGACGTCGTCCGCGATGGAGGCACGAAGAGGGCAGTTGGCGAGAGAGATGGATCTTCCCAGCTGCGGCCTGCTTTTCGTCTCTGCTGGGCAGTCGTCGACCGTGGTGTCTCTCTCCGTCATTTTGCTCGATGGCCTCGAGACCAGAGGCCGGATCTACGTCGCCGTCTATTCTCGTTTTCTCTCTATATTTTGGGCCAGGGAACTCATAAAATGCAGACAGGCATGTATTCGATAGGACAGTTTGGCGATTTGGAGTGCAGTTCAATTGACCGGACCTTTTGTTATGCCCATTTTTTCAATTCTCTTTGCCTTGTCCCGTTCTTCTGGCACTTGTTGACTTTGGGACAAGAAGTGCTGAACGATTATTCCAAGCAACTCTAATACCTCACATGGAGATCTAAAAGTGATGGGATATGGCCATGAGAAGCTGGGCGAGA